CCAGGTCTCCTCCCCGCCATGGGGATTCCTCGTTTCCCAATCTATCTCTCCGTGATTTAGGTCCCCCATGACCAGCAGCTTCGCTCTCATTCTATGCGCTAAAGTTGCTGTGTGTGTGTGTGTGTGTGTGTGTGTGTGTGTGTGTGAGTGGTGTGTGTGTGTGTGTGTGTGTGTGTGTGTGTGTGTGTGTGTGTGTGTGTGTGTGTGTGTGTGTGTGTGTGTGTGTGTGTGTGTGTGTGTGTGTGTGTGTGTGTGTGTGTGTGTACTCACCTATTTGTGTTTGCGGGGGTTGAGCTCTGGCTCTTTGGTCCCGCCTCTCAACCGTCAATCAACAGGTGTACAGGTTCCTGAGACTATTGGGCTCTATCATATCTACACTTGAAACTGTGTATGGAGTCAGCCTCCACCACATCACCCCCTAATGCATTCCATTTGTCAACCACTCTGACACTAAAAAAGTTCTTTCTAATATCTCTGTGGCTCATTTGGGCGCTCAGTTTCCACCTGTGTCCCCTTGTGCGTGTTCCCCTTGTGTTAAATAGACTGCCTTTATCTACCCTATCAATTCCTCTGAGAATCTTGTACGTGGTGATCATGTCCCCCCTAACTCTTCTGTCTTCCAGCGAAGTGAGGTTTAATTCCCGTAGTCTCTCCTCATAGCTCATACCTCTCAGCTCGGGTACTAGTCTGGTGGCAAATCTTTGAACCTTTTCCAGTTTAGTCTTATCCTTGACTAGATATGGACTCCATGCTGGGGCTGCATACTCCAGGATTGGCCTGACATATGTGGTATACAAAGTTCTGAATGATTCTTTACACCCTCTGTGTGTGTGTGTGTGTGTGTGGAGATTAAGACATGTGATACGGAACATATGCGAAAGCGGATAACATAACATTAACGGGCGAGATAACATGATAACATACTGGATAACCTGAGCTAACAACAGGTGGGGGGGGGGCAGAAGTCTCCATGGGGGTCACGTGATCAAATATCTTGTATCACTACTGGGTCCCAAGAACTACAGCCCAACCCTCTGCTTATAAATAGGTTCTTACTAAGTTTCAAAAACACTGATGGAAGAATGAGATGATTCGGTCATTATGGCTTAAAACAGTTAATAGGATCCCCGGGGTCAAGAAAACTGTTGTGGCTGGCATCCTGCAGAATGCCTATTAGTTGGCCGAACGTTCAGTTGATGTAGTGGAACTCTTATCTACGACACTGGGAATCGAATAGGGCTCGAATCCCATTATATTTATATATTTATATATCATATTTATATCGAGGCGCCGAACACAATAGATGGCGTCTATCAACACAAAGTCAACACTATACCAACCACAACAAGAACGTGAAACAACACAAATTACAAAATAAGGAAGTGAATAATAAAGATAAAAGTATAAATAGAAAATAAAAAGTCATCTAAAAGCTCCCCCTCCCCCCCAGCCCCCATTTTCTATAGAGCCGGAGGTTTTTGTTCAAGATAGTGGGGAACCCTCCACCACCACCCCACCCCACTGAAGCAGACACGAGAACTGCTTCAGGAGCAGCACTCTGCCCACTCAGAGACTCACTGAGTACCTCCCTAGCACTCAGCAGCTCAGGAACTCCCTAGCACTCAGCAGCTCAGGAACTCCCTAGCACTCAGCAGGTGAGGAAATTCCTAGCACTTAAAACAATGTTCTTTCCAGACACGAGAACTCCATTTGGTAAGTATCTGTCTCTTCCCCCCCCCTCCACCCCCCCTCTCCCCCTCTCTCTCCCCCTCCCTCCCCCCTCTATTCTGAGATTGATGGAGGCTGGAGGTGATTGATGGCTGTCTAGATGTCCGTCTGTCGATATATATATATATATATATATATATATATATATATATATATATATATATATATATATATATATATATATATATATATTTATCTATTTGTGTTTGGCTATCTGATTCTATGAGTGTCTATCTTTCTCTAATACGCTAATTCATTTTCTTTCATGATACTAGTTATATCATAATCATTATTACCATCATTAAAGGCTAAGCAATCAAGGAGACGTGTTCACGACATCCAAAATACTCAGGAGAATATATATATATCTGGTGGATAAGCGGTAAGAATGATGGATGCGGTGGAGGGATAATTCCATGTACAGATTCATGAGCGTAATTTCTCCAACGAGGCGGGCCCAAGAGCTAATACCACATAAACATAACTAGGGAGCAACAGAGATGCCAACCCGTGTGCACTCAATCACACTAAATGCACGCAGACACGCAGCCACTGTGCACTCAATCACACTAAATGCACGCAGACAC